CCAAATGGTATTCTTCTATATGCAAAGGTACTATAGGGGAACATAAATGTAGTATTCTCATGATCCTTTGGAGCCATTGTAATATGATTATAACCTGAGTACCCATCTAAGAAGTAGTAATGTGAATGCCCCGCAAGTCTTTCCAACATCTGATCAATGAAGGGTAATGAAAAGTGATATTTTCGAGTTGCATTATTCAGCTTCTTGTAGTCTATGCACACTCTTCATCTCGTAACTGACCTTGTCGGTATCAGCTCATTATTCTCATTCTTTATCACTATAATCCCTCTTTTCTTTGGCACAACATGAATCGAACTAACCCACTTGCTATCGAAGATAGGATATATGATGCATGCATTAAAGAGCTTTAATACCTCTGTTCGCATGACATCCTTCATGGTGGGATTCAATCTGCCCTGATTTTTCACCATTAGCTTATACTTTTCTTCCATCAAGATTTTGTGCATGCATATTGATGGACAAATCCCTCTGATGTCTACTATAGACCACCCAATAGCTGTTTTATGTTCTCGCAAAACTTTTAGTAGTCTCTATTCTTCCACATCGGTCATCTCATTTGTAATAATCACAAGGAATGTAGACGACTCTTCCAAGTAAGCATATTTCAGATGTGATGGCAGTTGCTTGAGCTCAAGATTTGGTGCTTTTTGAATAGAAGGTAGTGGTTTACTAGGTCATTCACCAAGTTCCTCAAACTGTCTTCGCGGTGTAGACTTTACAATGTAGAAGACCTCGCTTATTTCTTCAACTGTTGATTTTCTATCTTGTGAGTGTACAAAAATATTCTCCAAGTGGTCTTGAGGGTGCTCAAGAATAAAAGTCTATTCCACATGCAAATCTACCATATCAATGCGTAGACAACTACCTGATTCAGTAGGATACTTGATTGCACTGAAGATGTTGAATGTTACCTGCTCATCATTCAATCGCAACATCAATTGTCCCTTTTGAGCATCTATTAAAGCCTTACATGTTACAAGGAATGGTCTCCCCAATATCAATGGCACGTCCTTGTCCTCCTCTACCATGTCCAAAATGATGAAATATGTCGGGTAAATAAATTTATCTACCTTCACTAGTATATTTTCAATAATTCATCTAGAAAATTTTACGGACCTGTCTACCAGCTGCAAAGAGATCGATGTTGCCTTTGTCTCTCCTAAATTTAGTTTTCTAAAAATAGAGTAAGGCATAAGGTTAATGCTAGCACCTAAATCACAACGAACCTTATTAAATGTCATTTCACCAATGGTACAAGGGATAGTAAAACTTACCGGGTCTTTTAGTTTAGGTAGCAGCTTACTTTGTAAGGTGGCTTTGCATTCTTCGTTCAACATAACCGTCCCCAACTCCTCTAAGTTCTTCTTATTTGTAAGTATCTCATTCATGAATTTTATGTAACTGGGCATTTGAGCAAGTGCATCCACAAATAGTACATTGATATGCAACTTTTTGAATACCTCAAGAAATTTCGAAAACTGCTTGTCCAGCTTATGCTTCTGTAGCCTTTGTGGAAATGGGAGTGGTTGGACGATTTCTTTGATGGGAGCAGTTACCTTAACATTTGGATCCTCTAATGCTTTCTTTTGTTCTTTGTACTGCTCAGATTCCTTCAAGTGCACCTCAATCGAGGTAGATACCTTCTTTTCTATAGCAATTGGTCTCTTCACATTTATCTCAGGTAACTGTACCCTACTATGAGTAGTTGTAGCCTTCTAGTGCTCATTTGGATTCCTTTAAATGTCACTAGGTAATGTTTTTGGTAGTCTATCTGAAAGTGCCTTTGCTACCTATCCCATCCAATTTTCCAAATTTTTTTATCCAACTTAGTCACAAGATCTTCTAATGAAGATTTTTTTCTCATTTTGCTGAAAACCCAACGGTGCAATTTACTGTGGTGCAGTCTGAGCACCCTGGTTGTTGCTCCATTGAAAACCTAGATGGTTTTTCCAGCCTCGGTGATAAGTGTTAGGATTTGGATTGTGTTGCTGCCTTTGAAATTTTTTAGTGCAGTTCACATCCTCCATTGTCTGAACAAAATGAGATCCTACATTACAATCAACACTCTTGTGGTTTCTTCCACAATGTTTGCATTTCGGTCCTATTGCCTGGGCTACATTCATCTGATCCACCTTTTGTGCCAATGATGCCAACTGTGCTGAAATTGCTGTCAAAGAATCAACTTCGAATACCCCAACAGCTCTTTTTTCACTTGTCATTTCAATAATCTAAAGTGCACTAGTAAATACCACATTCTCTATGATTTGGTAGACTTGATCCGCGATATTTTTTTGTGATAGAACCATCACATGCGGAGTCTACGTTAGCCTTGCTTATCGGATTCAAACCAATGTAGAAATACTAAACCTAAAGCCATTTCTGCAATCCGTGTTGTAAGCATTGGCGGAGTAAACCCTTGTATCATTCCTAAGCATCCGAATAGCATTCCAAGTCCAGTTGTTGGAATGTTGTAATCTCGTCTCTCAGCTTTGCAATCCTTTTAGGTGGAAAATATTTGCTAAGAAATTTCTGGCTCAATTGGTACTATGTAGTGATGCTCTGGGGTGGGAAAGTGTTTAACCACTTTCTGGCTGAGTCTCTCAATGTGTATGGAAAAAGCCTCAGCCTGATTATTTCACTAGATACCCTTGGATACTCGATAGTAGCACACATGTTAAGAAATCTTGATACATGAGCGTTGGGAATCTCTGAAGCTCTACGAAAAAATTGTAACGCGTTTTGGAACATGTTGATCACATCCATCCGTAGGTGGAGGTTTGCCTGACGAAACGCCGGATATATTATGCTAGATTGGCTTTCCACAACTGGTGGAACCATGTATTCTCCTATTAGCCTTGCATTTACATTCGGTTGTGACTATTTGATTCGGATTTCCCTCTGCCATATCTTTCTCTTTCTGTTTTTGTGTATTTCCAACTGTTATCTTTTTCGAATGTTGAATCTTCGTTCGATCTCATGGTCAAATTGAGCAAGATCATCGGTTCTCGAACTTTGCATACACGTTCTCGAAAAAGTAAGTGGGAAACACTATAATATTTTTTTTGTAGTAAACTAAACTAAAAAGAAAAAATAGTAAAATTCAAATTAAAACTAAAATTAAATAAACGTATCAAAAATAGTAGTCCCCGACAACGGTGCCAAAAACTCGACCGTTTGAAAATTGGCAAGTGAACGAGATCGTGATCAAGTAATATAATAGTGTGTAGAGTGTCGAACTCACGAGGACTACATGTTTTATCGAAGTTAAAGTTAATAATACCCTTAATCGAATAACAATAATGACTTGTAATAAATTTAGGTCTAACTTATCACGTAATAGAAATCAAAGTAAAAGTTTATCAAATTTTTGAGGTGCATTACTAAGATGTAGAATCCCCCTTATTAATCCATTTTTAGCACAACTATTAAAATGACTCATTATTATCATGTGAGTTGGTCGAAATTCCAAATTTCTTTTAAAAACTTCTCTCAATAACAATTAAATCTAATCATATATGTGACATTTTTATATCTCTATAAAAGATACTAACATATAAGAAAGTATTAAACGAGTTAGAACATCTAAAAAAACATGTGAAGTATAGATGTATATCTCTCTCTTTTTCCTTCGCGCCTGTATATATATATATATATATTCTCTTCAACAGCAAGNATGGCAGCCGGCCCCTCTTTCTTTTTGTAGGTCAACCCCAAATTCTTCTAATTTCATTCATCCAAAATAAGTCCAATTGAGGCCCATTTAATGTATTTCTCCAAGTCATCTTTTACAAATAATGCAATTTAATCCTTCACCTTTTAAAGTACGAAATTTGATCTCCAAACTTTGTATCCAATAGCCAATTTAGTCCCCGCACTTTAGATTTTGCCACCTTTTACTTCTTTACTTCAATTTTTTTTTATTCATAAAGGTTCACCTATTAAATATAAAATATAACAATTTAGAATATATTTTATCAAAAGAACTATCAAATATAGTTATTTTAGATCCCGGATAAGTGTATAAACTTATCAGTGTCAATCTTTGTAATATTGATAGACAAGTGTTCTTTTTCATACATAGCTTATTATTCCATTATTATTAATTAATTTGAAACTTACTTTGGGTTTGTTTGATCAATTGAATGTTGCATTTAACCCTCTTGCTCATTTCACCCTGCATGTGACGGACTCAAATGTAATTCACTACACGTGTCATGTAAGATTGCATCATAGAATAGCATGTTTTCCGATTGATATAATATTGTTCATATAAATATATAAACTAGCAATTATTTTGATTACGAAATATAAGTGGGGCTGGCTGCTTGCCTAGGACATTGATCTATAAGGATTCTCTATCTTAGGTAGTGCGTGTTCAATGTAGTGGTGTTGCTTTGGGTTGTGCAATTCCATGTAAATTCTCTTCCTCCTCGGACATAACGAAATTAATTAGTAACATTTACCTTTATCTTCCTGTCCTTTATTGGACTAAGTATTCTTCTATGTACTAATTAAGTAATTATACCACATTGCAGAATAAAATAAATAAAACCCATTAAAAGATCTGTATTACAGATCCGTCCCCGTGAATAAGAACTAAAGACTTGTATTTTTTTTATTTGGAAAAGAAATAGGCTAGAAGTGTGAGAAATACAAAAAAATTGTTTATTGCAAAATTTGATACTCTTCATTGTATTTTAGTAGTGTGTACCAAATCCGTATAAATTGACTCGACATAGGTGAGACGATGACTGATTTCTCGCAGACTACTAATGAATGGCCACAGGTTCATTCCTTCTCTCTTTCTCTTAATTATTACAAGACAAAATATGGCCCCATATTTGTTTCTTTCCTCTTGGCAAAGAATTTCCAATGTGTTGTTATTTTTACCCTAGAAGGACCACCTTGAATTCTTCTTTCCCTTTTCCTCATTGTTTTTGATCGTGAAGTTACACAATCAGATTGATGAAAAAATCTTCATGTCTTCAACAAGCTGCAGTGTTATGGAAAAACCAAGTAACCAAGAACAAATTCTCTTCAAGTGTCCTCGATGCGATTCCATTCAAACAAAGTTCTGCTACTACAATAACTACAGTTTGTCTCAGCCAAGGCACTTTTGTAAATCTTGCAAGCGTTACTGGACTAGAGGCGGAACCCTAAGAAACGTTCCGGTTGGCGGCGGGTTTAAGAGGAACAAAAGGGTGAAACGGGCGCAGCCGTCAGCCTTCACCGGTGGTGCAAATTCTTCCTCCGCTTCAAATGAAACTACAAAAATCAGTACTGTCCAACCCAAGATAAATCATGTTAACCCTTTGCTGTATAGCCAGGCCACTAACCCTATCGAGCTCAATCTTTCATATCCGAGGTCGAATTCTCCTAGGATTTCGGGATTTAATATTCAGCCTCATATTAATGTACTTGGATTAGAGTTCTCGTCGGCTCTTATGGCAAGTGATCGCATTCAACACAGTGACTGTAAGAATGCGTATAATTCTGCTGAGCAAATCCAAGATGTTATCAATCCAAGTTCAGTTCTTTCAAGCACTTCTATATTTGGATCTTCAACTTTTGCTTCCACTTCAACAATGGCTTCTTTGCTTGTTTCTAGCCTTCCACAACAAAAATTCGTTTCCACAGGTTTGAAAGATATTCAAGAAACTAATAACTTTCCAGGGTTGTCCACTTTTGCAGAAATACAAGCAATGGACCCAATTGAACAGATAAATTCTGCTGATCTTTCTCATTTATGGGACACAACTGGTGTTGTTACTTGGCTCGATCCTTCAAGCATGGGTTCTTCTGTCCCTTATCTGATCTAGCAACTTATTTTTCTGAGGAAGCTTTTTTTAATGGTCTATTTCTCTTAATTTCTACTGAAATCAGAAATAAAATACCTGAATGGGAGAAGTTTGGATCGAAGCGATCATGTCAGCAGCAAGAAAACTCAGCCAGCATATTTGCGCTGAGAGGAACCTTGGATCCTCTTCTTCTCATCCGCCAAGGTTTTATCAGCAACCACATTCTTAAGATGCAATTAGTTTTTAATTATAATGTGTGTTCTGAATATGTCCTTTAGGTCTTTTGGTTCCTTTTTATTTTTACCTTTCAAAAGGTTTGGGTATAATGCTATAGTAGAGTGGGAGATTGCTTACTCAATGTATGTATAAAACAGGAAGATCGATGCGCTGAATTACTCTACTTATACTTATCCGTTTGTATAACATGAATTAGCAATATATAATTTTTTTTTTACCACAATATGCCCCTGTTTGGGCTCCATTTTTCCAAATTATAATGAGAGGAATAGTAATTTTTTAGAGAATGTGTGATTAAACAATTTATAAATATATAAATTGTTTAGACGTAATATTATCCTGTTGGACACTTCTTTTTATGTGGCCTTGATGTCCTAATGAAACTAGATGCTGGTCATCAAATGAACAAGGGGATGTAGAAGAAAAAATATCTTTGAAAGCGAGTTTTGTTTGCATAAAAAGTTACTTGAAACTAAGTTAGTTACTTATTTTGACAATAAAGCAAGTTTGGTTTCAAATTACATAATTTTTTTACAAGTCAATAAACATTTTAGTATTAAAAAGTGACATTTACTTTTATGCAAGCTTAGCCAAACATAGGTCCTTCAATTACTTCTCTCTTTTCTCTTGGAATTGCAATAAATTGTTGGCTTGTCTTAGCTCAATTAATCTCTAATTAACCCGAGAAATCGCAATAAACGTCACTAATATATCATTTTCCTATAATACGCACACTTTACAAACAGAAATTGAAAGATAATTAATATTCTATTAATCTATGAGAGAGAAGCTGTTAATTTAATTACCTAAGCTTAAAATACAAAGATACAACAATAAGCCTTATCTACTCAGAATTGCTACTGCCAATGTTGCATGGCGTAAGCTTTGGAAACAGGCTTCTACTGATGATTAGATTAGCTAGGACGAGACTCAGCTTGCTTGGATGAGTTCAATAGATTAGGTACAAGTATCTTCAAGCTTTGTAGGTGAGCTTCTATTCATGATGAGGAGACGTGACATAGACCCTATTAAATGGAGCTTGTTTGGATCTTAGTAGATATCCTCAAGCTTATCCTTAACATGCCCTCGTATGATAGAGCTCCGGTCAAAGATTGCTATTTTGGAAGTAGTTGAGCCAATTTGTCATATGAGATGTTGGGAATTTACTTAACATGCACAGCGGAAATTAAACAATTTTCAATTCCCAAACGAGGATCTGCAATGTGTTTAGATAGAAACTGTGATGAGAATGATACCTTTGATGAATTCCACAAACTCTTTTGCTTTTTCTTGAACTCCAATGATCACGATCTGCAATCCAAGCTGTCCAATTGTCCAGCCTCCAATGGTGATCCACACAGAGAA